TACTCGATGTACACTCTCATATTTTCTTGACTTTTTATCGATGTACGCTGATTCTATGTTAAATCCAATTGTGTATGGTATTTGTAACAAGACATTTCGTGATTCTTATAAAAATATGTTTCATAAAATAATGTGTAAATAGAATTGGCCAGAAGAGCTAATTCATTTTGTGTTGATAAGATTTTAGAATTTATCATTGAACTGCACGCTTAGACATGGACATGTTTTGATGTATTTGTAAAGTTTAAAAGAAGAAAACACTGCACCTCATAGAATTTCTAATTAAATAGAAATGTTATTTGATCGACATGGGTATGACACACGAAATGCTGATTCACCACCTCTAAAAGTAGATTTCAAAATAACCAAGACTTCACTTATATATGTGCTGGTGCAATGTATAGATTACACTGCCGAATATTAAAAGGATCTTCTAATTATTTAAATTTTAAATTAAAATATAAAAATAGAATTTATAATTAATACAATATAAATTATGCTACCATTTTTAAATACTCATAATTATAACTCTTACACTTGTATATAATTTTATTAATGTTTTGACTCAGCTGTTTTATTTCTTAATGATATCTTTTCACTACTAAATTTTACTATTTTAATATCTTGATTTATAAATACATATATCTATATGTATGTATGTATATATATACAGTATATATAGGTCTATATATACATATATTATATATACCTATATATACATATATATGAATATATATATATATACATATGTATATATATTAAAATCCTTTTTACCACGTACAGTCCGAAAGTGGAATTCCCTGCCAGATTACATTGTTGACTGCAGTAAGTTGGAGTTTTTTTTAAGATATCTTAGCAATTATAACTCTTACACTTGTATATAATTTTATTAATGTTTTGACTCAGCTGTTTCATTTCTTAATGATCTTTTCATTACTAAGTTTTACTATTTTAATATCTTGATTTATACATATATATATATATGTATGTATGTATGTATGTATATATATACAGTATATATAGGTCTATATATAAATATATTATATATACATATATATTATATATGAATATATAAATATATATACATATATATATATACATATGTATATATATTAAAATCCTTTTGACCACGTACAGTCCGAAAGTGGAATTCCCTGCCAGATTACATTGTTGACTGCAGTAAGTTGGAGTTTTTTTAGGATACCTTAGCATTCTTCCTTGGCCTTAAGAAGATACCTGCTTAATTCATTATCCTGGCACTAAGCAGAGGCTTGGTTGCTAGATTGCCAATCTTATCTGCGACTAAAGTTCAGGATCTTGACAACCCCGCCTGCTCGAGTCAAACCCTGTCCCAAGTGACATTTTATATTATAAAGTAATAAATAATAAGACTAATAATAATAATAATAACCATTTTCATGGAAACTAAAGTTTAAGCGAGTCTGTCTTGCATGGTAGCCCATTATAGTTGCAAAATCGTCAATATGATGACGGCAGCAGCAGGACAATAAGAAGAATTACAGAGCCAAAAAATATATATATATATATATATATATATATATATATATATATAATATATAACATAATATAATATAATATAAAATCCAGAGAGTGAAGTCCCCCACCCCTTACTATCTAAAAGACAACGCCTTAATCTTCCCAGCTAACGTTATCACGTTCTAAGAACGTTATAATAACGTTACAGTTTGGTGATAAAAACGTTATTTTGTAGAACCATATTTACGTACTTATAACCTTATTTCACAACCATACAAGGTTTGAAAGAACGTTCTTACAACGTTGTGTGAACGTTATTTTGTGACATACCTAACCACTACGTTCGCGAACAATATAAGAACGTTTTGTGTTTGCTGGGTTAAATCTATTCTCCCATCTTTTAAACTTCAATTCTCACTCTTCTGGCAATGTTAAATGTGATAATTCCAGATTCTAAGTCTGCAATTTCATGTGCACCTCTGATCCATCCACTCTTTTCAATACTAATATTACTTTTACACCTCTCCTAACTTGTGATTCATCTATCGTCATTTACACTTTTGTAATAAAGACTTGGATTACTAATGCTCTCTCAAAAGAATGTATTATATATGTCTGATCATGTACCTGTGGAAAAATGTGTTAATATATATAATAATTCTAGTTAAATTCTGCATCTATGAATCCAGATGTGGTTCCGTCAGACCATCAAATAACGGTTTAAATGAAATACAATTGGCGAGCAGAAGAATATTTTAAATACAGTAATTAATGGCAGAATAAGCTAATATAATGATGAGAGGCAACTAGCAAAACCATTGAGCTTACAGAATAAACTTTGTAAATTGTTTGCTTTATATTTAATTCATGGACCATTTGTTAGAACATGTTTCTTTTTTACGAAAATGTTGTCCATGTAAAATATGTTTGTAAATAAATAAATAAATATACCATTTTCGGGAAATTTGAAATACACATTTTTATCAGGAATTTTCCGTATGTA